ACTTGTACTATCTAGACGTATTGTTTCTAAAGAAAATCTGAAAATGGGCTTTTAGCCGTTTTACTGGTGATGGCCTAATGAGTTTCCCTTGTGTACATGCTACACAAGTGAGATTCTTTGGGATAACTCTTCTTCCTTTCAATGTGTGTCATTTTCAATATGAATTTTTGCATCATGTTTAAACCAGGATGGCCAATCCGGTCATGCCATAAAGTAAATATTTCGTGGGCTTCTGGCCTCTATCATACTGATCTTGGCATAGTAAAGACCAGTAGAGAATGCATATATAGTCTTGACCATTTTTCTATGGTTTTGGGCAAATTTTACATATCTGAAGGAACTCTTTGTTTCCTTTGTCCATTGTTTCAATACGGAAACCATTCATTCTTATATCTTTAAAATTCAATGGGCCTTTCTTGGGTGAATATAAAGCATCAGATATCTCTAGATGTGTGCCCTTTAGGCAACAATGAACTGTCCTGGCCGTAGCTCTTTATTGGACTGACTATATCCGCAAATATATTGGTGTAGACTTTAAGTCTTAAAATCATGCATTCGTTTTATTAAGTTTAACTCAGACAAGGCAATAGTAATAAAAATATAATTCAAAGGAGGCAATACAAAGAAACATAAAGCAAAGCAAACACAGAAGCAGTATGTCGAAATCAACTTATTATTGTAAGCAATAAGATATTTCATATTCCATAAGATCATTTTGATAATGGTCAGAGTAATTTTCGCCATCTTGGTGGACCAAATAGGCTTATGGATTCTTCCCTTTCTGAATCTCTTAATAGAGTTCACAAAATGTGTGGGAGTCCTACATGTCTTAGCCCAATGATCCCCATTCCACATCTATGGCACACTGATTTGGTCGAGTGTGGTGGTTTAGAAATACCACGCCCTTGTCCTCTGCCTCGACCACGGCCAAAGGTGGGTTGATACCCACGGCCTCTGCCATAGTGGTTCCCACGGCCAAAATAATTGTGGTGGCCGAAGCCACATCCTCTTCATCCACCCCGGCCATAACCATGTGGTCTATCACTCTGGATGTGGTTACTTTCTTTAGATTCTTTCTTTACCTCTGCAGCCTTATTAGCTTCAGGTAATGGGGTTGATCCAGGTTATTTTCTCACCACATTGTTTCAATTTATAAATTATCTTAAACAGAGCTGAGCTATACTTTTCCACAGACTTAAAGTCCTGGAATATGAGATTCCTCCAATCGATACATAGCCTTTGGTAATAACACCATTCTTTGGTGATCATATCTCATTTTTAATTCTATCAAAAGGTCTAAAGGATTCTCAATAGTTAGATACTGATCTTCGAGACCTCAGCAAGATGATGGTGAATAGTCATTATTGCCATGTATCTATTTCTTTCACTTGCATTATTGTCCTCGATGATACATTCACCGAGGCCCTTTGATTTCAGGACAATCCTTGTGTCTAATGCCCATTGTAAATAATTATTTTAGGGCTGTAAAGTCCAAATTGTTGATTTTCGAATCATATATCACTCAATTTTAGGTCTCATAGAAAATAAAATTCATGCACCCATATTAACATGTAAACATTGTAATCCTGACGTAATTTCCATATGTAAACAAGGCAAGGTGATGTAATTCAAAAAAGCCTAGCATACGATCAATGTTTATATGTTTTCATGCGGCCAAGGTGGTATATGATGCAAGTCAATCTTAGCATTATGTGATCTAGCATGTACATATGAATGATGCAAACAAGCCTAGCAGTACATATTCTAAAATGTGCAGGAGGGAACCATATAATCTCAAAACAACCTTATCAGTTTATGCGAAGATCATGCAAAAATCATGTGGCCTTAATCAAAACAATCAACCGGATTCAATGTGTCCATATTCAATTTGGTGTTTAGTATCGATTTCAATCATGAGACTAGCAATCTGATATATCAAACTAGCAAGTAATCTTAAACCTTAAAACACTCAATTTGGATCAATTAATTAAAGCATTCATTCGGATTAATAATATGCAATGCGCAGATTAGGGTTTTAGAGTTTCGATCCAAAAATAGGGTTTCAATCATGAAAAACAATCAATCTAGTAAACAACCCTAGCTCTCAAAACAATCATTCAATAAGATCAATCAATTGGAATATGCGATTAGGATTTAGAGTTTCAAAACATATCTAACATATTAGGGTTTAAGATCGGGCCAATCAAAACAAACAATCTCAATCCTTAAAGGCAATCAATAAATCAATCGAATCACGCAATAAAAAAAATCATTCAATAAGATCGTATGCATCTTGCATACATGCGGTTTAAGGTTTTAATATCTTTAAGGTTTCTTCAAAACAGATCATGTAATCAATCTATCTAGCATCATAAATCTCATAACATTCAATAGGGTCAAAGAAAAAAAAACAAACATGTTTTTAAAACTAGGGTTTAGGGATTCGATTTTAGGTTTAGAATTTCATGCAATCGGATCAATCAATTAGGGTTTCAGAGATTTAGGGTTTTAGGGTTTTGAATCTCATGCATAATATGGAATATGCATATATGCGGCCGATTAGGGTTTAGGGGTTTGATCATTAGGCTTTAGGGTTTTGATTTCTTTAGGGTTTCAGATTTACCTTATCGATTAGGGTTCTTAGCCGATTTACCTTAACCTCTAATTGGTTGAATGGACTAAGAATCAAGAGATCGGCCGGACGGTGAGATCTTTACCACGAACAAGAGCTTGTCGCACGAGCTGATCCTTGCAGTCCACGAGCTGGTATCGAGCTGAGATCGAATGCTAAAACAAACTGAGCTGGTAGAACTTGCTGAGTTGCTGAGATCGGATTGCTTGTGATCGGGAACAAGATGATATCATTGGTCGATCAGATCAGGGTGAATGGTTTGCCGTAAAAGAGTTTTGATCGAAAGACAATTTAAGGTTTATGTGTGATCAAAATTTTAGCTTAGGATTTAAGAGAATCATGTTGATAATGTGTTGTAAAATTAATAGGAGAATGGATGTATCTTATTCATAAATCATAAGGTGCCTTTTATATAAGAAATTACAAGTAAGTAAAAAAAAATCCTAAACCAACATGGAAAAGGAAATAGTACAAAACATCTAATTATATGAAGTATAGTTTCTTCCCTCTATGATGTGTCACGTCATCAAATTGATCAACCTCAGTGCAACACCTGTCCGTAAATTCTAAACGTTGCGTATCACTAATAGACTAGCAATAGTTATGGGCTTCGTTAATGTGTTGGGTTTTACTCTTGGTTTAATGAACTCAACCTGATGGCAAACTGTCGTAAATTTCAGTTCTCTCTGTACGCGTGAGTCGAGTCGAATGTTAGGGTTCTTCCCATCTCTTATTTTCATCATTCGAGAGCTTATCTTGAAGTCCGCATCTTGATTTTGTTGTAAGGTTTTTATCATGTCCTTTGATCTCCTTATCCATCAAGTGAAACGATCCCACTTAAAGATTCATCGCATTAAACATATTCTTAACTCTTTATAGCACGATCTATACTTCAATTGTGAGCTTTTCTTTTGCGAAGCAGTGTATGTGCGGGTATAAAAAGGTTAGCCTTCCTCCTCTCAAAATCATCTTCTGAATCCGTCTAAACAACACAATAAACTTATTTTCTGAGAAATATCTAACTCATCATTTTTTCTTTCTGAGCTGAAGTCCGGACACTGTTCCTCCGCCGTTCATGTTATTTTTTTAAAAAGTTGGGCCTCTTAAATCCTCATTATCAAGCTTTCATATTTAGAAACATAACAACTGTCTGTTTTGAGTTCATTATGTTTTTAAGCTTGCCTGGTTCATATTTTTTTATCCTTTCGTTGTTGGGATAGCTAAAATTTTATCTTTATTCCGTACAAGGTGTTTGACTCATTTTTTACTTTGATCTCATGTATCAATCAAAATATTATTTCTTTGGTTTAATCGTGTTCTGTGTTTTGGATGTTAAACAGATTATTAGTACACGAACTGCGGCTGGGATCTCCTCCAAGAGACCTTTATGTACAGACTGACACAAAAAGTTGATGTGTTGTGAGTTGGTTGTGCTACTAGCAATGACTTTCCTCAAACCAGTGCACTCCAATTAAACCTTCTTTTTTTTCCTTCTTTTGAGTACACTCTAATTTGAGATTAATGTTCGGTTCTGATTGCAAATTCAATTGAATTATTCTGATCCAGGGAGCTCAGTAACATCGACACCAATCTCATGTTCTGGCCAAAGATGCAGCTGAGATGTTCAGTCCTCAGACTCGGACTGTTCTGTTCCGAACAACCTTTGCGCTTACACGTTTCAGTGTAGGGATGGAAGTGGCACCTCAGGGTTTTATATTTCCGATGTTTTGCAGTTTGACATGATGGCACCATTTTTTTGTTGTAAAAATGGTGTTAGGAATAGTATATATAAGTATGTCCATAGCACCCGTCTCCACTCATAGATCCTTTTACGTTTACTCACTTTTCCTTTAGAGTTTCAATTGTAATTATCTTTGTTTTGCTTTTCTCATTGTTTTTTTAATGTTTCCAGTATTTTTTAAAAGAAATGGAACTTCAGTTGGTTAACTAAAAATACGATGATTCTATAACCAAATCAGCTTAAAAAATTGTTGAAAGAGTAATATTATAAGGAACAGAAATAACTTGATCATGAATAACGCATAAATCTGCCAGTAACAGTCTCAAAGTACTCAAACTGTCTTAGTTCCACTTTTTCAAAAAATAATACAATAACAATTCTTAAGCACATTCCAAATTTACTCTAGAAAAACTTCCTTGAACTAAAGACATTTATTTAACATTACAATATTCATTGTTTTGCTCAGCTAAGTCAATCATCTTCATAGGAAATCCAGATGTAATTCAGCTTATCAGGCAATGATATTAACCAAAGAAGTGGATGTATAGGATATTCATTATAAAACCTATTCTCAATGTCAGTACAATGTCAAATATTGAAAAATATGATCTATCTTCAACTAAAAACTCAAATCCAGCAGAAAACAGAGCATATTCTTATTAGAGGCAATTCTACAGGAGTCATACAATTGAATTGGAAAGCCGCCATAAGCTCATCCATATCAGAAGATTGGGTGCAGGTATTAGTCTCTCGGCTCTGTGACATGTTCTGGATGAGCTGATCTAACTGCATTCCATCTCCGTTTCTGATCTCCATGCCCCCAACCACATTATATAGATGCAGTAAGTAATTTCTTGCAAAAGAATCCATGATGTTGCAATAGTTTGTATATGGATATAAGATTCAATGACACCACACAATTCTCTTGGACCTGCACTTATACAACCACTAGCACATTGACCACAAGATGATCAAAGTGTGGACAAAAGAGAAGAAATTAGTCTCTCTAAGTTTTAAACCAATTTACTTCCAAATTTGGTACATTCAGGTTCACTCTTATTTATCATGCTCTGGATCTCTTTAGCATGATCACTGCAATACGATTCCGGTCTCAAAACAAGAAATTCAAGGAAACTCAAACTGCATATAAACACACGAAAGCATTTGCAAATTCAGATAATACAAAAAAACTGCAGTTCAAATAATACAAAAAAAATTACAATCTGCAGTTCAAATAATAGAAGAAACTACACAAACTATAGATAATCACCAGCTCATAATGCATTGTAACTCAAATGACTGGAGACTCAGTAAACTAAGCGCTTTAAAAGAAATCTGAATTAGTATAAATTTCAATCAAAACTCCTCAAAACAAAACCTATAACATTGGAAAAGTATTGTATTTGTAAAAGAATAAAACAAGTCCATGGATTTTTTGGTATCAACAAATCATGCTAATAAGACCCCCAAACCACATTCGTCGAAGTCTAAAATATAGAAAACCTTATTTAACCAACAAATATGCATTCGGATTGCCTATAAATCTAACCAAAAAACCACATCAACCTCGCCCAAACTATATATATTATTGTATATGCACCAACTCTTAATAAATACACAACCACGGGAATCTAACATAATCTAAACATTTATAAACCAATCTAAACATTTATAAACCATCCACGCCCTAACATACTTAAAACAACAAAATTATTATACACCCTTCCTGCAACTCTTAACGTACAACAAATGCAATGAAAATAATACAATATAGCTATATACATCATATGACCATCAAATCCTGCGTAAAACCTTATATTACAAAAGGAAATCAAAAATAATATAATCACTAATTATACCTTGAAAATTAAACAATAACTTTTGTTTATAAAGTCATAATTATTTTGGATGAAATGGTTTATTTGATAATTTTAAAATATGTAAATCTTTAAATAGTAATGTGTTATTTTTTAAGTTGATTAAAAATGTTAGGTCAAGTTTAATTTTGCATAATTATAAACAATAGATTTCAAAGAGAATATAAAAATTAAAATAAATATTAACAATATATAAAATAAAAAAACTTATACTTTGAATCTTAACCGCAATTCTAAATAATACCAGTTTGAAAAGTGTAAAATAATTACATAATAAAAAGGAATTTTTTAATCAGTTAGACAAACATATGCTTTTTAATAAAATAACAAAAAAAAACAATAAATGTATTTTAAAGTTGTGAATAAACTAAATATTATTTTTTTCTTACTCCCCGCCTGTAGGGCGGGGCGAGCCTAGTAGTCCATATAGGAAAAGAAAAAACCAGCCGATGGAGAATAGGAAAAATGGTCCAACCACCTATGAATCAGCCGTCTATGAGCTTAATAAATCGGACCGATTAGACCGATTTATGATATTCACAATACAATGGTTTATAACAAAACTTAAATACTAATAAAACTCATCCTCTTTATTACGGTGTCCGTCAGTGGCTAAAAATTTATTTAAATCTAAAAGTTAGGTAAGGGTAAACATGCAGAAACCGATTTTAAAGATGGATCATGGGTATTTCTGTAATAAATAAGGAAGTTACTAAATGATATCCATAAAAAAAGGTGTTATGCTTTTTTTTGGGTCAAGAAAACAAGAACATAAATGTTTTGAATATGTATGTATTGGTGGTATAAAACAACCACTACGGAGAGTTACAGATGCAGCTGGCGACACATACTAAATCACATGACCACAAATAAATTAGGAAATAAAGAACCAAACAGAATAAAGCAAAATATTTATTGTTGTTAGAACTTTATAAAGGTATGTAAACCGATATTTCAGAAATTTATAGTTGATTCAGAGATGAAATATCTTCACTGTATTATGTGTGAAATATCTCAGTGTTTTTCGAGTTTAGAAATCTCACTGATCGAGATATTTGAATACCATCCACGATTTTGATAACTTTGATGTTTTGAGTATCTACCACACTCTGTAATAGATGTTCCAACAGACAGATGATATACGTGACAAAGAATAATGTTTACATTATTATAAAGGCTAGCAGCCTTAGGCATCACACTTGTGTCATAAGAAAATGCAGTTTAAATTTAATAGTTTCTTTTTTTTTCTTTTTTTTTTTTTTTTTTGGTCAAATAATAGTTTCTTTAAAACACGTTAAATAAAGTCAAAAGATCTAAGATTCAAAGATCATGCAAAAGAGTCAATCATCTCACGAATTCAAAATATCAAAACAATGCAACATAGATCCAACCATATATTATATCATCCATCATCCTAAGAACTGAAGAAGAAATCTAGAAACATAGCTTGTTCCTTGAGTTTGCTTCTGTCTCACATCAAAAGTACATTGTTCTAATAAAGACCATCAAAAGATTCCAAAACCAATAAATGGTTTCTAGTTTAAAGAATAATGATCTTGAAGAAAAGCCAATCACCAAGATACTTTTGTTGTGATCATCTCTGCAAACCTCAACTGTTTTATATGGCCGAAACTACGGTGACAACTTCGCTTTCTTGCGGCGGAGGAAGATTCAGATCTATCATACATCGTCGGAGCTCCGGGACATGTCTCTTTTCCGGTTTCATCTCTTCCGCTGCGATAATGGGTTTCTTCAGCTTAATCTCCCTTGAATCTCTCGACAGCATCATCAAACACATGGCTAAGTCCTGTTCCGGAGAACCGTCGGAGACAGAACTCGCAGGCTCTGGCGACTCGCTGGAGTCACTTTTACTCGTCTTCTGCTTCTTTCCCGACACGGACGAGTTCTTAGACACTCTCTTCTTACTCCTCTTCTTCTTCGAAACCTCTGCTCTGCCCCGTTTACAACGAACCGGGGCCACTGACTCAGGTTCGGTCTCGGTCTCGCTGTTGTAAACGGTGGATGACTCAGGATCCGGATTAAAGACCCGGGAACTCTTCCTCGGGTTCTCTCGCAACCCGTAGACCAGAGTTTTACCGTCCGAGGAAGACGAAGAGGAGTAAACCGAGTCCCCGAGCTTCTTCCCAGTGGGCGTGTGTGATGAGACCAAGTGGGACTTCATGTGACCACCAAGTGCTCTGCCATTACAGAAACTTTTGGAACAGAGCTTACATTTGTGCTTCTGCATTTTCCAAAAGAAACAAAAAACAGAACAGAGAAACCTTAAGAAGACTTTAAGTTTCTATGTCCCAGTTTTGCTTAAAGAGACTCTGATGTAGAGAAGAGAGAGACAGAGAAGTTAATAAGAGTAGGTAACAAGCATTCCTATCTTTTTCACAAACCCCCAAAACTAACAATTATGACTTTTTGGTCCATACGATAAAACTACTAGTAATGTGATACGTAAAGATAACTCTTTTTAGTTAGTTTTAGTATAACATTTAAGAGAAAACTATACTATTTTTAATTCGACTGACAACGATAACCACCGTTTATTGTAGGAATCTCGAATTAATCCGACAAAATTTATACATATTCTTACAAAAACACAACTAACAATGATTTATTTGTTTATTAAAGAACGTAAAATTGTTTAAGAGATAGAACTATAGAAGAAAGGAGACAACAAAGCACAAAAAGAAAGTTGATGCTTTGCCTTTTATTGACTTGACACTTCTCCAGTGCGTAGATGAGCTTAGATGATTGATAAAGGACTTGCAAAAGATGAAAGATTTAACTTAAACAAAGTATGTGTGACTGTGAGTTATGTTGGTTGGGTTAGTTGAAGGATTTGTAATGGCAGAATCGGTTGAAGTGTCGAGGTTGAAATGATATGAATGGTTGTATTAGTTTACCTTGATAGGGCGTTGAGGTTTAAATGCTGAAAGTCATTTTTTGAAGGATTAAACAATCAAATAACTCGATACTAATGAAAATAGTTTTAAGAGTGCATTACCTGTTGAGACACTTTTTTATCTTTCCTTACATTATAGGACACTTCCTGCTGGTAGAACACATTCACAGTAACCAAGAAACTTTTTAGACAGAATTACCCTTTTTGTTTATTTGCTTTAGTTACTTATATCGTTTAGTTAGTATTTGTGTTTGTTACTTTTTGTTAATTTGCTTTAGTTATTAGTTAGTTTCATTTTGCTATGTTTTTTTGTTACTTCATATTTTAACCTCTAACATATATAAAACAAAAATAATTATCAAATTAAATAAAACATTCCAGCTTTTAAAATTCATTAATATATATATATTTTATATACTAACATTTATACAAAAAAAATATGGATATGAACGTCAAAGTGTATATAAGTTATAACTTATATGTGGACATGGACATTAAATATAAACACTACAACATTAACGTCCATACTTTGAGCAAGTTAGATCTATAGTAATTACATATATTGACATAGAATTATGGAATGCGAGACCAAGTGGAAGTAGGTTGACCACGTTTTGGAATCAAATTCGTTTGCATTTTTTTGTCATTAAATCAAATTCGTTTACTCAACATGTTTTTAAAAAGGTACCTTTGCAATTAACTTTATCTTTTTAATTCTCAGATCTCTGATACGAAGAGAAAGTTTTCAACATTTGCTCAATATGTTTCTAAAACATAATTACAAGCAGGGATGTAGTGTATAATTGTAAAATTTTGGACTAATTAAAAGAGAAATCTGCACATTAGAAAGTTTGGGGGAAAAGCAAAGACTTACATAAATACAAGGACCAAATTGGAAATTTATGATTCCTGATTGTAGATGCAATTGAGCTTTCCTCGATGGTGACCTCAAGATCAAACCACCTAGCTTCACCGAGATGATGGTTGAGACTTCGCAGACATGAGTTGAGCACGACGAGGAGGCGACTTGGACGACAGATCTCGTGGTGGAGGCTGAGCATGGCGAGGAGCTCGAACCACTGCAGCTGAGCACGACGAGGATCTCGAACCGCAGCTTCATCGAGCTCATCCACGACGGTGTCAAGCTCGGAATCCAACTACAACAATTTCACGAGATGAGTTGAGCACAGCGAGGAGATCGAACCACCATAGCTTCCCCAAGCTCATCCATGGCCTGGTTCACTGGCCGTCTAGGGAGAGGAGCTTACTCATTAACCGTCATCGTTCTCCAATCTCTCTCCTTTCTTTTCTTCTTCTCATCCTTAAATTTCTCAAAACAATTGATGGTAAGAGATGAAGATATAGATTTTTTTTTTCTTACATTATCAAATTTTCATACAAGATCATTTGCCTCTCTTTGTAATTAAGGTTCACAGATTTGGGAACGAGAGAAAATAAAAAAATTAGGGTATATGGATTTGGGAACAATAGGAATCAGAAACAATGATTTCAAAATAGAAACATGAGAGAGAAACAAAAAAGATAATTGGACGAAAACAAGAAGTGCTTAATGAAAGGGCATAAGGGACAAATTACAAGAATAAAGTGTGCCAAAAGCAAGAAGTATCTCTGTATGTAATTGCAATGTCAAAATGTGTCTCTAGGTGTAAATTTTTCTAGTTTTAATATATAGTTCGAATAATTCAAACGAAACGATCTAATAAGTAATAATCATCACATGGATATAATTGTAAACAGATTTGTACCATCTAACACACGATGGTCGACACCAGTGATGATTCGAAAGATCCACATCTGTTGAGCCATTCCACCTTAGTTTTTTTGTTAACGACGTTCAATGTCATTAAATGTTATTCGGTTTCTTGAGATTCTTTGCTTCTTGAAGTATAAAAAAAAAAAAAAACTTTAAACAAATTTGATTTTCTGTGGGTCTTTTCTTTTCTTTCCAGGTCCGTGTTATGGATCTCGGGTTTGTACCGTGGAAGGCCCTTCAAATGTAGGCGTCTCTAACCACCCGTATATGTATAACCCATTTGGTTTTATTATTCACTTTTCTAAAGGAAAATTAATATATAGAAAACTTTTCACTTAGACAAATAGGTTTGTATTAAAGAAAATAAAATGTGAAACCTAGTCGAACTCTGTGTCTGAAAAAATTTGTTTTCATTTAGAGAGATATGTGTTTTCATTACTTCATTGACTTGTTATTTTTAATACCATGACATGTTTTGCATACAATTCTAATTGGGGTTGAGATTTGAGAACTCCTAGCTGTCATACTTGTTTTCCAACAGAGAGGATTGTTTATACCCATTGCTCTAATTTCAAATGAAGAAAAAGACAAAACAACTTTGCGAGGATTCAAATATGATTAGTGCCTAAATATTTTGAATTCTCTAACCAGGATAGGATTTTCGTTTATGAGTGCAGTTTCAACAAACTTGACATATTCATATTGTAAATAAACTCTTTATATTCTTCCGCTTTTAAGCTAAAGAATGGTTCATGATAAGGACTATAAGACTATCTCCGAGTGGTTCACTTTATTTTTCGGGAAAACTGTCATTTAAATCACCAACTTTCAAATTTGGTTGAAATAAAAACCAACTTTCTCGTAAGCCAAACAAACATTCAACTTTTATTGCAAAGCTATTTTAATCATAATTTTTTGTCGACCATACCAATTTAGACATATCGTTAATCAACAGTTATAGTTGACTAATGGTAGGTCTAAAATGGCTTTCAAAGTTGATGTTTTTTTTTGGCACAAATATAAATCAATATTTTCTACAATATTAGATATATTTAAAATATTTAAAATATTTTTATAACTGAAGCACTAATAAATAATTATAAATAAAAAATCCAATAAAAAATATAAATAGAACTCAATGTGAAATAATTAGTTAACATATCATTAATTGAGTATCTTAGTTATAAAATGATAAGAATATTTTAATTATTTACGATTTATTTTTGTTAATATTTATATAACCCTATTTTAATTATGTTTATAATTTTATTTTCAAAAGTTTGTTGATGAAATATTAATTCAACTCTTGATTCTTAAATGAAAAGAGTTATCATTAATGAAGTCTTCATGATTCTTTATATTTATAATAAAGATCTTCAAACAAATTTATATAATTTCTATAAAATTCTTACAAGATTCTGCATTTAAAGAAAAATAAGTTTCACCAAAATCGATAATTCTTTTTGTTATCCGATTTTAAAAATCAAGAATTGAATTAATATTTTACTAACAAATTTTTGTCGGTAAAATTATAAAACATAATCCGAGCAGGATTATATAAATATTTATAAACAATTAATCGTAAATAATTAAAAAAATTCTCATAATAGTTTTTAACTAAAATACTCAGTTAAAGATATGTTAATTAATTATTTTACATTGATTTCTGTTTATATTTTGGTTGGAATTTATTTTTTATTTAAAATTTTATTTATTAGTGTTATAGTTATTAAAAGTTTCAATATTTAAAACCCAAAATGTTGATTTATATTTGTGCCAAATAAACATCAATTTTAAAAGCCATTTCAGGTCTACCTTTATTCAACTATAACTGTTGACTAACGATATGACTAAATTGGTATGGTCGACGAAACTTTGTGATTAAAATGGCTTGTGAATAAAAAATGAGTGTTTTTTTTTTGCTTATGAGAAGTTGATGTTTTATTTTAACCAAATTTGAAAGTTAGTGATTTAAATGACATTTTTCCTTTATTTTTCTGTCAAAATAGAGTAACTTATAATAGAGTAACTTATAATAGAGTTATTTTCTATTCCAGTAATACTCTATTTTAGAGTAAAAAATAGAGGGATGAAAAAAATAAACTTATTCTATATATAGAGCAATCCTATTTTTACTCTATTATAGTGTGAGATATTGAGTATCATTGAAACAATGTTATTCTAAACTCTATTAATAATGAAAAATATAGTGGAGTTGGAGATGTTCTAACATTATCTATTTTATTATAATTTAGCAAAAAAAAATACATTTTACCATTTGTTTGATGACCGTTTTAAGGATTATTGACTATAGTCACAGTTCACGTTTTATTTCATACAAAGCGTTTGGATATGAACGGAATAGTAAATATGGCTGTTTGGAAACTTGTAAATATGGATACTGAAATACACTATTTACAAGTTTCTTGCAGTCATACACTTGTATAAGTACACGGTAGGCAAGACCGCAAAAAACTTTAATATACGCATAACGCATGGTAATCATGTTTTAACAAAAAGCTGATCAAAGGATATCTAAATATCACATTCCAAGAATAGAAAAGGCAAATATTTGAATTTGAGTTGTTGTGACTATAATAAAAAGTTGAGTAAAGAAGAGGCTTACAAACGGAATCCACAGTGTTAACTACTCTATCAATACAGCTCTTTTGACACAAAAAAAGAAATCTGTTTAAATAAAGATTAATTATTCTCATCCAAATTAATGTGTATTGGACTAA